AATATTGATGCTTCTGAATGTTACAATGTTTAATGCATTGAAGAATGGAACTTTCTCGTTGCCTTGATAAAGATGCGATAAATAATAAATTATTTACTATGCAAAGTAATTATATAATGGAATATTCTATCATCTGACGTAAAAATTGATATCATCATCAATCATGTTAACATGCACAAATATAAACAAACTTTAATTTATTATATACAATTTTTGTTGAAAAAAAAATAATTACCACAGATGATGTCCAATGTGCACATTGCGATGTAAGATGTAATATCCACATAAGGTTCTCCGACTTGATTTGTAAGTTTATCGATTAGAATCTTGCTGTTGGAGTTGAAAACTTTTATGTAGTCTTCAAGAATCTTGAAGTGAAACGCTGGTGTAAGCAATTTCCGACGTGAATGCCATTTATTGCCTGAAAATTAGCTAAATATATTAAAGAATTTTACTGTCCACGTCATTCTCCTTTGCATTTGCACTCCATAGTATCCACCGATCAAATTTCGTCCTGTGCAGCGGTGTTCGCGCCATTGTGCGTACAACGGAGACATTATATATTTTTGCAGTAGTACTGATCAGCGCATGCGCAGAGCCTCCCGGCCATCCTTGTTTCAGACGGCAAGAAAAATGACGCTATCAGTAGTAAAGAATGTATATAATTATATCATTTTACGTTCAAACTTAAATGTTAAACTATAATTAATTTATTATTATATAAATACTGTAAATTACTTGATATGACATATAACACAAATAAACAAAGTTAATACATAGCATAAGAACTTCATAAACGAGCAGAAATACGCTTTATGTATTAGTGTTCAGTGTTTCGTACCATAACAGAGGGCTAAGTGTTTAACGTGTGGCTTCAAATGCTAATCTTCTTAACTAGAGTTTATAATGCAAATATTAATTTGAATTTTAAAATTTTTAAAGCAAAACTGTTATTAAAGATTCGTCAGTACAACCCACAGTGTAACAATAAATTATTTTTAAATAAACCACAGTTTAGTAAATATATGTTGAGTTTTACGTAAAGCAATTTATGCTTAGAAAGGAAGTTTGGGTCGGTTCTTGCAAGATCTTTGAGCTCCTGACTAACGAGAAGTCGATTCTGCTTCTGGTCCTCAGACAGGAGCCTTGGTTTCGCATGTGGAGTTCTTCCTTTAGAATCAGCTGACCGGTCCCATAGCCTATCCCAACAATGTCGCACAAGTCGTTATGGTACGACGTCGATCTTCGTGAATGGCCTGCCGACTCTTCGTAACATTTTCGGGCGTTGTGCTCGGAGATGGTCGTCCAGAACGCTCGTCATCATCGACAGCGGTTCGGCCATTTTTAAAACGTGAATGCCACACAAAAGTTTGTGCACGACCCATTGCGGACTCCCCAAATGCTTGCTTTAGCATTTCATAGGTTTCCGTAGCCGTTTTGGCGAGTCTTTGGCAAAATTTGATGCACACGCCATTCCGAAATCGCAGGAGGGTCGGTGTAATTCACTACCAAAACGCCCGTAACTAAGACATAAATGTTAATTCGATGATGCCGGCTGGCACACTGATTCACTATGAATGTAGGCCGCACCCCCTAATGGCAGAAGCTCGTACTACATCCGGTTCGCCCTCTATTGACACAGTTTTGAAACTTTCCGATTGCACCTCGTATGTGTATCCATCTTGTGTGCAAGCGCGGAACTACACGTTTAGTCCTCCATAAATCACCTTGGCGTGATGGTTATTTAAGCACAAGCGTTGTTGAAGACAGAAAAAAACTATGTTAAGACAACCAGGAAATTCCAGATATGTTGACGTTATCATTAAAAAATTAAACAGAACCTCGGAAAATCAAGGATCAATAAATAGGAGACCTTTAAGGACGCAATGCGATATTTTTAAACATTAAGGGCATTTAACAAGTGACTGATAATTCTTATTCAAATACATTGTTTAAACTACTTAGTTATAGGATGTGTACTGAACGAATATGGCGCAAGATTGGTATCTGTACTTACCGAAACTAGTAAGCAATCCAGTACCCAGCCAGGGCTGAATCAAATCGTAGTCCATACTCTTCTTAATGTGACTGGGGCTACTCAGAATGACCTAGGAAACAAACACTCGCTATTATTTGTTCGCTGGTCTGACCTTTTTGATCGATATATCTAAAGACGAGATTTTAATTTAACTTAAATATTGTTAGGGCGGTTAAATTAAGGAGAGAGGATGGACAGGGTATGTAGTACGTATGGCGACGTAAGTTGGCCACAACTTCAATAAAATACTTTATGGACGTCTTAGCAATCAGGTCCCTGTTGCCAAAATATATTTGCTGAGTAATTATATCAGCTTTTGAAGAACATTATGCAACATAACTCAGCAGACTCTTTAGCGAGTAACTGTTATCGACAGTGAAAAAGAATTTCATTAACAAAGAATTATACTTGAGATTTCAGGTTCTTGTGGAGGCGACCGTCTTCTGTGGTATTGAACCGTGTAGTCTGACAGAAATTTATCGACGTTTCAGATGTACTTGTTGCCTCTATCATGAGTCATCGCCCTGGTACCTGCAAGAAACTCTGAAACGTCGGAAAACCACCGGACTACAACGCTTAACATCCCAGAAGAAAGTTACATTGTGGTATTTTAGTTTGTCAAACCGTACTGGGTAATCGGGGTCCGATTCCCGACAGGGACAAGAGATTTGTTTATCAACTTCCGCGTTCAGACCAATTCTTGGTCCCACCCAACTTCCTGTCCGGTGGGAACTGGGTTCTCTCCCTAGGGGCTAAGGAGACAGGACGTTAAATAATCACTCGTATTCATACAATATTGTGATTAAAGAATTTACCTAAATTATCCACGAGCTTTACCAGGGAAAACTGTACCTCCATTTTATAAATTTACTTGAATTATAAACTGAGCTGTCGTGACTGGAAATTGCCAGAGTTCTGTGACGTCACAACGTAACATTGAAAGGGTTAACATAATTAAATAAGTGGCTTATATTTAACAAATAAATCAGTTTGTAGTTCGACGTAATTTAACTTACACATGTTTATTTCGTTATAGCTTATTGGAGTTATCATTTTTCCTTATGCAAAACTCAGATTCAAAGAAATGAATTTTTATCTCATGTATTACATAATGTCACATGTAGTTCACATTGTTTGGCTTATGTATGATCTTATATAAACAATTGAAACCAATTTATTACGTAATACTTGCATCGAATAGACGCATATAGGAGTAATTATGTCTGTCTATCCGTGCGTCATGGACGTTATGAGATTTCAGAATAACTTAGATTCGCACTTTGTAACATCCTACAATCTATAAAATCAACATGGCGGACGAATGAATAACGTTATGAGGTGCGGTTGGTACTTCCGTCATTTAATAAATTGTCTTCGAAGAAAAGACAAATTTGGTATAATATTTTCTAGTACAGTGTAAACCAACAACATTTTTCCTGAACAAAATAACAAAAATACTGGTTCGACCAGTATACGATCTCATGAGCCCAATACGCTACTACAGTTGATTTATGCTACTTATGGAACGTATTAATAACACATTTGTAAAGTTAAATATTAAAATACAGTGTGTCCACAAAGTCCCTTCGGGGTTTAGAAAAATTCTGGCGCGCAAACAAATTGAGCTAGCCACATGAGGTTTGCGGCAGATTACAGTGAAACTCTGGAAGTTTTTTACTGACCTCAGTAGACCTCGATGTGGGCTCCC